AGATAGATAGATAGATAGATAGATAGATAGATAGATAGATAGATAGATAGATGGGGAGTGGTGGCACAGAGGTTAGAGAAGGTGGGCCTGTGATTGAAAGGTCGCCGGCTCAATTCCCTGGACTGACAACATCAAAATGTGGGTGGGAAAGGTGAAACACCCACACCTGCCTCCACCCTCATTTGCTCCACCCTGGGCCCTTGAGCAAGGCCCCTAATCCCAATCAAATAGGTCTCTCTTGAAAATGAGTCCTCGTGACTCAATGACACTACCTGTATAAATAAAGGCTAAATTAAAACAAATAGATAGATAGATTATGTTACATTAATTTATTGTTACATTGATTGCCAGTCTACTTATGTAAAGTACTGTACATGCAAACTCCGTACTGTCCCGCATTCTACCGTTTTGAACGTTTTATGTGTCATTAACTTTTGTTTTAATTAAGTTTGCCTCCACAACTTTTTTCATTTTATTTATTTTTTTGTGTGAAAGCCTTTGCATTGTAAGTTGGTAGTAAATGAGACATTTGCAGTGTAAGTTCCTGAAAGGTGTCATGATAACAATGTTTTTTGTGAAGAGTAAAGGTTGGTGGGTGCACTTAACACTACGAACTCCATAAAACTCGGGGGCATACGCCATCTTCATCTTCCACACCTTCTAATTCTCAACGTAAATGCTTGGAACGATATATTGGGGCCCAAACCCACAGATTCAGAAAACGTCCACTTCCTCTGACATGTGCTTAAAAATGGACTGTTTAGGTGCTTTATTGTTATTACGAATGTCTTTGCTTAAAGGGAGTATCTGTTTATACACGTGCATATTCCACCTTAACTACACAATATTTCAGTGAATCTTTTGCCAAATAAATAGCTTTGCTAAGAACACAGTACAAACAAATGAAAGTCACAACACTATACCGGTGTCATGCACAGTGTCTTGGACAGTGGAATGTGCCGTTGCTCCCATCTTGGTATTTATAGTGTAAAATACTGTGTGTTTGTGTGGGCGTTTGAATGCAGATTTATCTTTAGGTAGCAATTTATCTCTTTAGGATTTTAGGTAGACAATGAATGTAGGACGCTTTACATTCAGCACACTGAAGTCGTTTCTTTTTATTATTCAGTATCCCACTGATATCTGCCTGCATAACTCTGCTGCTTGTGTTTCTCCCTTCGATAAGTTTCTGTGAAAGCTTTGCTTAATAAAAGTTTGGGGTTCTGTGAACATGGCATGCTGCATCTACAATGCTTCTGTATCAAAACACAAGGGGGACTGTAAACTGCCAAATAAAAGAACCAGTTATCTACACGTTATGAGAATTAAACTATGTCTCAGGCTAAAGCTTTCATTGCAAACTCCTCCATGGATTCTCTCTTTTATGGTTAGACTCATGTTCTACCAGCAGGTGGCAGTGTTACATTTATTTGGTGGAAATCAAGGTGAGAGCAGAAACCGTGAAGCAAATCACAAGTTCAGGACACTGACTACCTGTTTTCACTTTACTAAATTTTGAAACTAATTACTGTGATATGGGTAATTAATACCTTAAGTCAATGAATTATAGAAACAATCACTGGCCCACCTGGAAACCTGAGGTGCTGCATGGATGAATTTGTTAAAACACTTAAAGGAATGCATATTGCCCACCGCCTTTTCATTTCAGTGTTTCAAGCTGAGATCATTTTATCTTAAAAATAATAATACTAAAGTTATGAGCAATCACTTGCAGTATTGCACGAGCTCGCTCGATTTGTTACCACTCCGAGTATCCATTGGGAATGACTGTCAGCTACTACCACACCAAGTTTTAGTTCAATGCATGCAAAAATGACAGCATTATAGCCATTTTTTTGTTTAAAAATCATTCGCGATGACAGCCATCTTGAATCGGGCTGGCTCCAGAAGTCAGTAAGTTGCTGATGGAGCACCAGTGATCATCTTCTGAAAGTGTCATTAAAACCCATCCAGTGGTAAATGAGACAGTTTGCTAACAGAACACGTGTGCATGCACGCATATAGACAGTGGCAGTTACATAATTGCCCGCCATCCCCAAATTTCTGGCTCTGGACCAGAAACAGCACGTTGGAACAGAGCAGCGATTTACGAGTCCAGCTGTTTCTTCTGTTGCTGATACTTGACGACCGTTTTCCTCCAATGGCCTCATCCTGTTCACACTATTGTCTCCGTGTCAGGCCAACCCAGGCGGGTGAGGTCAGGGTAACATTGTAAAGGATTTCCTCTGGCTCTTAATGATTTCCTGGGTATTCATAGAGCCAACAATGCATTTGGATTGGGTTACTTAACCTGGCACACCGTAAAGGAACTCAATAACAAGGGACTTATTAGCTCATGATTAACTTTCATGGGACTGCAGCAAAGATGCACCTGCAGATTAAATGTCATTTGGGAAGATGCATGTTTTTAATCAACTAAATATATTCCTTCTTACTGTAAATTTTAATGTCATGGCATTCAATGGGCGAAATTAAACTAAACACCTATTTTTAATCCAAATTGTAAACATTTTCAGTTCCATTTATTGGTACAAAAATATTACAAATAGATACAGAAATGCAAACGTCCAAGTCTGAAGTAGTTAAGTGTCAAACTGTGGTGCACTGTTCTGACATCACAGGGGAAAAAAATGATCAAATTAAACAACTCTACACACATTTAAAATGCAGAAATCGTTGCTAAACGGATTATAAAATGCAGTATGTGATTCACAGTCTAATCTGTACTTGCAGTGATGCATTCATGGCCCATTCATGTCATGTCCTCAACCTGGAGGCAGTGCAGGCTACCAAAATGAGTCGATAAACCAATAAACAACATAACAATAGCATTTAAAATTTGTTTTTATAAAGTAAATGTCATACAGAGAGGCTAATACTCCAGCTTATTTCTAAAAAAATAAAATCGTTTTGTTTCTCTCCTCATTATTTCTAATAAAATCCTTGACAAAGTAGTCCTGACTGTGTTTGTCCGTTCTGGGATGGACGCAGCTCAGCTGTTGCCATCAGTTTATAGTCTGCGTCAGAAGGCCCCAATCTCCATGCTCCAGGGCCTGTAAGGCTTCGTCATGGTGGAGGAGGGACTCGCGGCGCTGACGGTCGTTGGAGAGATGAGAGGGAAAGCACCAAAGGAGAGGGGGAAGGCCGAAAGTGAGGACAGAGCAGGGACGAGCGGCGGCGAAAGCTTAGAGGATGGCACATGTAGACCGAGGGCTAGTGAGCCGTTCACCTTGAGGGACTCTGTTGAGGTCAGGATACTAAGTCTGGATGTCCCAGATGATTCAGTGGACGAAGAGGATGAAGAAGAAGAAGAAGAAGAGGAGGTGGATGTTGGGCTGCCGCTGGTTCTGTGTGCAGGTGTCCTGCCCTGAGGGTGCTGTAGAAGGAGGTGGTGTGGGAGATGTGCAGGGGCTGTCCCATACGAAGAGCCCCAGGCTAAATGTTCCAGCCCGGTGTGCACGTCCCTCTGAGAGGCATAGCTGCTGAGGTGGGACACCAAGCGAACCCGCAGGGAGTCTGTGCCATCCCGGCCCTCTACGATGCTCAGGTAGCGAGCCGTTTCTGCCAGGCACTCCCTGAAACCAAAGCTGCGGTAATCCTTAGCAAGCGCATGAGCCTCAAAGTAACCTGTCAGCGAGGAAAGAAGCGGGTTTAAGTAATCGGTCTAATCCCAGCGTGGTTTGAAGTCACAAAAAACATACTCACCTTTGCCTCCAGAGGCATGAAGCATCTTTAAGTGGTCCACTGTCATTTGCAAAATTTCTGCTTTTTCCAGTTTAGCTGATCCCTGTGAAGACAGATGAAACATGTCACCTGATAGAACTCCCATTTTGTCTCGCACACAAACACCCACAGTACCTGTTTCTCAAAAGCACTTGGCACCAGTCTTCTTAGTTCCGACAGACTGTTATTGATTCGGTCTCGTCTCCTTTTCTCAATAATCTATTAAAAAGTGAAGCATTTAGTCATTTTGAATAAATTTGCAGTAACTCGGCTACAAATCTCACAAGTTTCCTCACCCCTCTGCGCCTTTTTCTGGCCTGAACTTGTGTGGTTGTGGTGGGTGACGTTGATTCTTGAGAGTCAAGTTGCCTGAAAGTTTGTTTTGAAAAAAGAAAGAGAAAAACAAAGACTTTTAGAGCAAATAAATAAAAAAAATAACAGCATCTTGAGTTTTAGTAATAAAAATGACAAATATAGAAAAACATTTATACAAAAGTAAAACATTTTCCCTCAAAAATGTACCAACTGGGTGTAGATAAAAACTAAAAATATGAAGATGTCATACCCAGTTTCGTCGCCACTGTCTTTCTCTACCTCCACATTATCGTCCAGGTCGCTGTCTGACGAGCTGTAGTTGCTGCTTCGCTTCATTCTGCTTCCAAACCTTCACTGATAAAGAAACAAGAGTCACAGAAAGCTCCTGCAGTGGACTCCGAGCAGCAGCGGCTCAGAGCAGACCTTTAAAATCATCACACTTCAGCGGCGCCCGCAACGAGGGAGGGGGCGGGGCGTGAACTTTGAAGTGGGCGGGGATTAGTAATAGTTAGCCAGTTAAAATTAAGGTAGTTTTGAGTGACACATGGGAGTAAGACTGCGTCAACGAGAATGACTGTGTTAAAGAAAGAGCTTTAAATCAAGGCACCTTGTTGAAACTCTGTAAGTGTATGGAAAAACCCGTCATTTGTCGTTACAATGAAACTTTTGCGGTTATTTGTTTATTTTGTGGACGTTATTTCAGAATGATCGACGGACTTTTAGTTTCCGGTTTTGTGTTGTGTTCCTGGTACCTCGTAATTTCGAACTTCGAGTTGGGAGTGACTTACTTCAGTTGCATCTCATTAATTTCAGTAGGAAAATGTATAGTGCTCACCAACCAGGCAAATTAACATTAGCAACTAAATATAAATGTATTTCTTCGTAATTCTATGCATTTAAACAGCGAATTAACATGCTTTCTAATATTCATTCAACCTTTATTTATACAGGTTAGTCTCAGTGAGTCACGAGGACTCATTTACAAGAGAGACCTGTTTTAGACAAAAATCACAGATGAGGTACACACAAAAATAAACATTCATATGAAAAGTATATAAAAAATGATATAAAACAAAGTAAATAAAACATGCTATATAAAACGGTGTAAAATACTAAAAACAGGAACATGCCTGCATTGAGTTTTGCTTTGAACTTAACAGTAGTTTAAACCCCCTAGAGAGGTCAACGTATACATATAAAATAAAATAATCAATATAAATAAAAAAATAAAAAAATAATAAATTAATAAATATATACCACACCATACCAATTTATTTATAGAGCACTTAAAACAGCAACAAGGCCAACCAAAGTGCTGTACAAAAGAAAACAAACATGCACAGCGGACAGGAAAACATAAAATAGAAATACAGATACAAATAGCAGCAGAAGCTAACTAAAATGGCCAACAGTGTAGAGTACAGACAGGACCAAAACAAATCACACCGTGTTAAAGGCAAGAGAATAGAAGTGGGTCTTCAAGCGAGACTTAAAGACTGAGAGTGTGGGAGCCTGCCGGACACTCAGTGGCAACTCATTCCACAGTCGTGGACCTGCAACAGAGAAAGCCCTGTCACCTCTGAGCTTACGACGGGTTTCTGGGACTGAGAGAAGCATCTGGTCTGCTGACCTCAGAGAGCGCGGTGGGACGTATGGCTGCAGAAGATCAGTGAGATAGGATGGAGCGGAACTGTTCAGTGATTTAAAAACATACATGAGAATTTTGAATTGGATCCGAAGGTGAATGGGTAGCCAGTGCAGGGAGGCCAAAACTGGCATGATGTGCTCTCTATAGCCTGTACCAGTTAAAAATCGGGCTGCAGCATTTTGGACCAGCTGAAGACGTGAAATGGAGGACTGACTGATTCCAAACAGAAGTGAATTGCAGTAATCAAGCCAATATACAGGTCCTTCAAAAAAAATTAGCATATTGTGATAAAGGTCATTATTTTCCATTATGTAATGATAAAAATTAAACTTTCATATATTTCAGATTCATTGCACAGCAACTGAAATATTTCAGGTCTTTAATTGTTTTAATACTGATGATTATGGCATACAGCTCATGAAAACCCAAAATGCCTGTCCCAAAAAATTAGCATATCATGAAAAGGTTCTCTAAACAAGCTATTAACCTAACCATCTGAATCAACGACGTAACTCTAAACACCTGCAAAAGATTCCTGAGGCTTTTAAAAACTCCCAGCCTTGTTCATTACTCAAAACCGCAATCATGGGTAAGACTGCCGACCTGACTGCTGTCCAGAAGGCCATCATTGACACCCTCAAGCAAGAGGGTAAGACACAGAAAGAAATTGCTGAACGAATAGGCTGTTCCCAGAGTGCTGTATCAAGGCACCTCAGTGGGAAGTCTGTGGGAAGGGAAAAGTGTGGCAGAAAACGCTGCACAACGAGAAGAGGTGACCGGACCCTGAGGAGGATTGTGGAGAAGGACCGATTCCAGACCTTGGGGGACCTGCGGAAGCAGTGGACTGAGTCTGGAGTAGAAACATCCAGAGCCACTGTGCACAGGTGTGTGCAGGAAATGGGCTACAGGTGCCGCATTCCCCAGGTCAAGCCACTCTTGAACAAGAGACTGTGTCAGAAGCATCTCGCCTGGGACTGCTGCTGAGTGGTCCAAAGTTATGTTCTCTGATTACAGTAAATTTTGCATTTCCTTTGGAAATCAAGGTCCCAGAGTCTGGAGGAAGAGAGGAGACACAGAATTCACATTGCTTGAGGTCCAGTGTCAAGTTTCCACAATCACTGGGGTGTCATGTCAGCTGCTGGTGTTGGTCCACTGTGTTTTATCAAGGGCAGGGTCAATGCAGCTAGCTATCAGGAGATTTTGGAGCACTTCATGCTTCCATCTGCTGAAAAGCTTTATGGAGATGAAGATTTCATTTTTCAGCACCACCTGGCACCTGCTCACAGTGCCAAAACCACTGGTAAATGGTTTACTGACCATGGTATTATTGTGCTCAATTGGCCTGCCAACTCTCCTTACCTGAACCCCATAGAGAACCTGTGGGATATTGTGAAGAGAAAGTTGAGAGACGCAAGACCCAACACTCTGGATGAGCTTAAGGCCGCTATCGAAACATCCTGGGCCTCCATAACACCTCAGCAGTGCCACAGGCTGATTGCCTCCATGCCACGCCTCATTGAAGCAGTCATTCATGCAAAAGGATTCCCAACCAAGTATTGAGTGCATAACTGAACATGATTATTTGAAGGTTGGTGTTTTTTGTATTAAAAACACTTGTCTTTCATTGGTGGGATGAAATATGCTAATTTTTTGGGACAGGCATTTTGAGTTTTCATGAGCTGTATGCCATAATCATCAGTATTAAAACAATTAAAGACCTGAAATATTTCAGTTGGTGTGCAATGAATCTGAAATATATGAAAGTTTAATTTTTATCATTACATTATGGAAAATAATTACCTTTATCACAATATGCTAATTTTTTTAGAAGGACCTGTATATATATATATATATATATATATATATATATATATATATATACAAACAGAAAAAATATATAATCATGATTAGTGCAGCTATCACTATTTTCATGAGCAACGTGGCCGTATTGGATTTTATGTTTGCAGTTGGTTTGTATGGAGGGTGCAATGTGACAAAATTAAATCAATAATTAGGGGGCCATTCATTACCGTAAGCAAATGTCAAAACATTGGAGACAGACCGTTCAAGGCAGTTTGACCCTGTTTATGCATCTGGGTCAAAGTGCAAACTGTGGCAAATATTTCACTTTTAAAAACATCTTTTCAAGGTTTCTCACATTTTATGTTTTAAACTTCAATTATCTGTTTCCCCTCACCAACTCAAACAAAAGTCTTCCCAAAACAATTTTTGAAGTTTTTTTTAACATAAAACTTTCAAATATACAATTAATATCCATCCAGATAATTACTACAAGAAGCAATGGCATGGAAATAAAGGATCTGTGGATCTCCCTCTATTTTCTCCCCCAGAGAACCCTTAAAGCAGAAAACCATCTTCAGTAGGATTGTTTACATTGTATTTTATATGATGTATACAAAAATAAACAACTACATTCATGGAAAATGCTTTTATTGACAGTTATAATATAAATCTCAGCAGACTTATGTTGCTTTTGAATGTTCAAACATTATATTTAACATCAGAGATACATTTTTTTAATTTAATCTCACATTTTTTAGTTCAGTCAGATATTTTTTCTTTATACTTTATTAGTACTTGCTTAGTCCACAGTAATCCAGATACACACATCATTACATCAAATGTTACAGTTTTACTGCACTTTAACAACATGATCATGATCTTAACCAGCACGCCAGTTTCCTGTATGTTTAATAACTTTTGTGGTTTAAACTATTTTGCATGTCTTCTCCCCCCAGTCATATGATGTTCTGGGAAATCACTCCATGTTTGGATCTAGTTTCGACTCTGACCCTGACGTGTCTGTTAATGCCATCAGGGAACCTGAACCAGAGCCCCCCGCCATCTTTCAGACCACTATACCTTGTTGAGGAGCAGCTGTTTCTGCTCCATCAGGTCAGTTGTTAACTTTGTGCATGGGGAGCTGGACAAGTGGGGATGAGAGTTTGATTCCCCGGAGCAACAGCTGCAGGCCGACACTTTCCATACCCAGAATGTCGGCGGTGGTTTCTCTGGTGGTAACGCACAAATGGTCAATTTAAGATGTCTGCTACAACTAGTTAACCTAGAAAAAGTGGCTATAAGACATTTAATTTTTCAAAAGCTCAACTTGGTTGTGAGTCATTCTCAACATGTTCTCCAAGTGCTGATGGATTATATGATGGATTATGCTCATAAAGATGTTTAAGGTTTGACCAAAAAGACCAGTACTCCATCATTTTGCAAGATAACATTATCTTAGTTTAATTATTTCCATGTTCTGTTCTGTTCTAAACAGATAGTTGGTTTGGAACAGGGTGAGCAACAGATGCTTTACGTCTTGAACTTTTTGTCCCTGGCTGAACCACACACCTTCCATGGCTGCTTAGGTTATCATACTATTATGGTAATCTGATTCATGTTGTGCCACTTGATACACAAGACATCCATCCATTTTCTTTTACCCTCTTCTTTCTTTTCGGGTCGCGGGGGTCACTGGTGCCCATGTCCAGCCCTCACTGTGCGAGAGGCGGGGGACACCTTGGACAGGTCTCCAGTCCGTCACAGGGACAAACAACTTTTCACTCTCGCTCACACCTAGGGACAATTTAGAGTTAACAATTAGCCTAACGTACATTAAGGCAGCTGTGGCTGAGTGGTTAGAGCAGTTGTCCTCCAATGCAAAAGTTGAGGGTTCGATTCCACAAGCAATCAACATGCTGAAGTGTCCCTGGGCAAGACACTG